AGAAACAAACATCCATCCTCCATCCCTCGTCCCTCCATCTCAAGGTTCACAAGGTGTATCAGCTGACAGAGTAGCAGAACTTTCAGGACATCATTGCATGTCTGGAAGTCTCTTCAGGACCCGGTGCATGAATTCGTGAAACTGATCCGGGTACATCTGATGGGGTACGCGAGTACAAGATCCCACCAAACCCATGACATGGGGTACGGCATATTTACATACATTGGGGTGGTGCCAGGAGGGTCCGTGGGGCGGCAGGCCGTCCCAGACGGGTCGTAACGGCGCCAATGAGCAAACCGGTGGCCGAATGCGGCGCGCCAGGCGTCATGAAGTGGCACAACTGGAGGCTCTATTCTCTTCATACCATCAGCCCTATTGACCCTATTGCCTTCAGGATATAGAACTCTGGACCTCTCTGGACAGTTTCACTCCGTTGAAACTCCCAATGCTCCCCTTCAAAAAAGCACCCCAAACCTCCCCAAACATCACTTTCGACCCTTCTCCACCCCCATACAATTCCCTTGGTATCTCCATGCTGTCTAGGTGTCCGCACCGCGCACTCCACCATCACCTTGGTGGTGTCCTGCTGAATGATCCAAGGCGAGACACTCGCGTCGTCGTTTCGCGTGGGGAGAAAGTCGCGCCCTCAAAGAAGTCGCGCCGTGGAGAGAATTGGCTGGAAAAAAAGGCGTTCAGAGTCGAATCATCTACGAAATCATACGTATCTATCTATATATATCTATCTGTCTAAGATGTAGAGCAAACTGTAGAGCAATAATATATATATATATACACATCCATACCTAGACCCGGCACAGGTGACAAAAAACTGCCCGCAGTTGAGAAGGCAATTTGTTCAGTAGGCATGAAACATTCGGCCCGTCGAAAATAAAATCATCCGCATCCAACATCCATCATGCAACCGGAGCAAAGTTCCTTGACAATTGCGGTTGTTAAAAAACGAGTTCCGCTAATTTCCGCCTTTTTTTCCGCCAATGTCCGCCCGTGCCGATTTCTACCCGTGACATTTTCAGACTATTTCTAAAACAACCACAACCATGACCCCGCCAAACCAACTGGCTCAGATGGAACAGTCAAAAAACCGATGTCGGCCGGACGTGTTCTCGTGGATTTCAGCCTAAAAAAGGATGCCTTTGAAGGAACCATCCCCACATTTGGCACCCACATCGAAGGGTGCTCCGGTACAAGAACTTCCGGCAAGCGAAACCATCGATGCGACTCCCTGAGGTGCAATCCGTGAAGATGAAGCTTCGAGGGTTTGAAGTTGCCAGCTTTCGATGCGGATCATTCTTCTTGACTATAGTAGCCAAAAACATCAACAAACAATATATAACTTTTTAGATAAGTTAAGCCCTTTGATTCTATGACCTGTGACTTTTGTGACATCTTCTTTGCTTTTCCCATGATGTTTTTTTTCTGCTTCTGCTTGGCACCCAACCTCACCTCACCAGTTCCCGTCCACCGCCGTTCCCGTCCAGTTCGCCGAACCCAGTGGCGTCGTCCTCGAGCCACTTCTTGTGGAAGCCTGGAACGATGGCCCTTCTTCGTGCCCTGCAGGAACGGGAAGACAACGATGGAAAACGGTCAGACCCGCTTTTGGGTTGGTGGATATTTGAGGATTCTTGGACCATGTCCCAAAAGTCACGGAGACGGAACCATGTGTCCTAACGTAAAAGGGATCATCCTCCGTCCACCCAAAAAACCTCTCTGTCCACCAGTAGTCTCTCTCCCAAACCCACCATCTTCCTCCTCTCAATTCTCAGCCACCTCTCAGCCACTCGAGTGGGCTCCGCATCGCTCGGTCCCACTCGGTCCCCCGGGCTTCCAGGTTTCCGGGTCCGCGGGGATCAGCCCGTGGCCTTGGAAGCCAAAAACGACGGATCACCCACTCCATGGGACTGCCACTCCAGGTGTGTGTACTTTGGGTATATCCTATTACACTCCCGAAAACTAACATAGACCCTGACGTCCTGGTCCCATGGAAGACTATTTTCCTCTACCAACCAGGGGTTTTCAGGTGCCATGTTAGTCTTCCAGGGTGTATATGGAATATGTATTAGACTCTTGATTAATAAACCACCCCTAAGAGGTTGTTCAATTCAAACGGATGGAGTCTACATTATACCAGGTTTCGGTGGATGATGATGGTTAGATAAAGGCCTTTCGAGTAGTGACCAGGTGTGTACTTGAAATCCAGGAGAACCCCCTATCGCTGGGTATATTCTGGTCACGTGGAGTGACAATGGTGAATGTAGGCCAAAAATCCAACTGCACACGGAGCAACTATACCAGAACCTTCCTCACTACCAGGGTCTGGTGGTTTTGGGAGTCCCTATCCTTATTCCTTAAGCCTCTATGTTCCCATCCGGAAGCATATTTAATTTATACGTTCCCATCGTCCCATCCCAACCACCTCCAGGGTGGACAGCTCCTCACGTACGCGCCCATTGCCGGCACCCGGGCCCATGATCGGTTCCAACACTTCGCTGAGAATGCCCTTCGTGTACAGCTCCTGGCGCTGGTGGCCAGCTGGAGCGCGGTGGCGAGCGACGGTGGCGAGCGACACGGACCGTCGCGGTTAAGGCGCTTGGTGATGGAGGGTGATGGCCGCGGCTGAGAATCAAGGTCTATATTCACAAGGATAAACTACGATACAAGATGATACAAGTAAAAAGTAGGCGAAAGTTTGGCCATGTCTGTCTTTGCCAGCAATAGCTCCAAGTAGAACCGCCAGCACATCATAGCACATCAAAGAACTCCCGTCGACAAACTCCCTTGATGCCGTGCAGTGCCACGGGGGCCATGACAAATGATTACGAAGACGACACGCTCTTCATCTGCCCTGGATCTATCTATCGGGGCACCTCAGCCCCGCCACACGCACAACCCATCCGAAAGCAACCACCGTTTGAAACTGATCAAAGGGGTGCCCCTTGACCACCCCGAATGGGCTCGGTCCAATCTGGAGATTGCTTTCTGAATGGTGGGATTCGTGACCAAACCCGCCAAATCACCTCAAACATCATCAAACCACCCACGCAACCGCAGCTCCAACCGCCGATCTGCAGCAACCGCGCCGTCGCCCACGTTGCACCCCGACGTTGCACCCCCCACCGGTGAGCTGGTGAGGATCCGCTTCACGATCACCGGGTCGGAGACCACGACCACTGAGCGCGGACCGATCACCTGAGTCGCGCGATGCGGGCGACCGGACCCTGGGTCAGCCACCCCCACCCCAATCTGCCGTCGTCCGTGTATGTGTAAGACAGGAAAAGGGTCCTGGGTCCTGGTTCTTGGACCGTCCTGGGTCCTGGGATCAAGGCTTTCAATGAGGTAGACGGTCTGACGGTCTTCCGAAGCCTGGTTTGGGAGGTTTTGGTCCAAAGATCTTTGAAGAAAACGCTGGTTTGTTCTGCGGGGAAGTGGCGATTCTGCGAGATGGGCGCGATTCAAGCCTCAGCACGTTTGCTCTTGTAGCCATGGCCTCAAAAAAAGAAAAGACACAAAGCAGCAATTGACCTCCACCCATTCCCCAAAAAACTCTGAAGCTTCACCTCCTGCCCCTCCTCTTCGCTGCCTGAACTCGGCCCCTTCTTCCGGCCCCCGCCCAAATAACCCCTCAACCCAGCAGCGATCTTGTAGATTCCCTCGCTCTCCCCGTAGCCCTCCAAGAAGACCGGCATTGGGGCTCCCGTGATCCTGGCGGCCCCAAGATCAGACCGGCATGGAGGCGTTCGGAGAGTGGAGAGAAGAGGAATCCAAGAAGAACGGTCCGGTATGGGAGTGTGAGAAATGCAACAACTGTCTCACATTACATAGTCCGACTAATATTACATAGTCAATTCATGGCCACTGGAAAGCTTTTTCTTCTCACAAAGGGTCTTCCATGATAGTGACTCGGAGGATATATTTCTAGATCCACTCCCAGGATGATTGCAATTTAAAGATCCCTTGCAGTAAATCCTCCAACCTCCCTCCAGGAAGACAGAACGTGAGCGATGATAGAACGGGGATGACAGTTTGTTGGTGTTTCGGAAACGATGTACTACTAGCATCGCTGATGCGAAGTGAAACACTGTGATTCTGTGTAAACGATTTCTTCTACTATGAATTTGCTTGGAGAGCTCCATATTTCATCATATTTTGAGTGAAAGCAAGCGTTCGTTGATCGGTCATCACGGTCCTGGTCATCACGGTCCTGGTCATCCCAATGACACGGCCAAAAAGGCCGCCAGAATGGGCCTTTAGCAAATGGCCTCCCAATGAAACTTTATCGGACTCCCCAACGTTAAACATCAGGATGCGCGCTCATGCCCACCGTCGACACTGACGACGGTGGACGGACCGAGAAACCGAAGAACGAATCCTCCGGAGTGCTCGCCCCCAGTCCGCGGAAGCCTCTCCATGCGTCCCATGACCATGTTCTGCAGAAGGTCGGCAGCATGTCGCTGCCCTGGCAGAGTCTGAAGTCACGTGGCGTGAGCCGTTTACACGCTATGTCGTGAATGGTCCATAAGTTTTGTTCTCAAAGGCGAGAAAAAAGCGAACAAGTCTGTACCCTAGGACCTAGGATACCCTAGGCACCACGGGGCCTATATCAGGGTCTTCATTCGCAAAGCTCTTCATGTTCTCTTGGACGATGTTGATCCATCTGGGCATCCAGGCGAGCGCAAGCTTGCCCCGGAAAGAGCAGTGAGCATGGCGGAAAACCCGAAGAAGCTGAGAACACCAGCGGAATGTGAATCTTTGTGATACGCCAGCGGTTTGACCTTTAAATAGCCCAAGCGGTGGAGCAACTTGTTTGTCTCTGGACCTCAAACCCACTCGAAACTGTAAGCCCTGGCATCAGCTTCTGTCCATGAAGTTGCTATAATAAGTTAATAGGGACGACGATGTGGGAGAAGGGCTTCGTTCATTATATATAATTGGGTGTGTACTAGAAGAGGGAGAGCCCCAACCATGGGGTTTAATTGTTCATGTGGCTTCTTTCTCCTACCAAAGGTTTCGGCTGGGGGGGTCCCCTTCTTCTACTGTAATATACACATCATTGCCTCATCTCCGTTCCATTCTAATTCTCTGTTCCTTCCGTTTCCGGCCAGGCCACTTGTTCTGCACGGGAATGCCATCGATGAACGCCCCGTTGACGCCAATCGTTTGCAGCACCTGGAAGTTCCGCGCCGCAGCGCCCGGTGCCCGGTTTCCCATTCAGAAGACGACCGACAGCGGTTGCGCTTGGCCCGACGCCGGTTTCGGTGCTGCAGTGAGACGACGCGTCGAGTCGAAGATCGATCCAAGAAGTGCTCCGAACGGTGGAACCGAACCCCCCACGACGCCCGGGCGCCCCCACCCAACCCCCCGCCGCAGGAGGTTCTGAATTCTTCTCGCGCGGACGACTTGGACGACTCGCGTTACGTCACGGGCCACGGCGCGTTGATCAAAGAGAGCCACGGCCCATCCAAACCCACCGCCTGACTCACCTGCGCGGGCGAGCCAAGGTGTAGCAGGGACGGCAGCAGGCGCACTGGGCAGCAGAGGTCCAGGAGAATGTCACAGCTTCAAGTACCATGAAAACATACTAGAGTTTCCAAAGGCTTAAAACGGGGACGGTAGGCCTACTATTACAACCCAAACACTCCATGTATGCCATATATAGGCATAGGCTATAGGTGGTTTTGGGGGTGAATGCAGGCATATATCGGAGTCTCATGGAGTGTCTGGGTAAGGAGTCAGATCATGTCAGATCTGTCATGATCATGTCGATTCTGCGAAGCTTCGGTTTGGTGGAGCATGGGGGTGAGCTGACGTGCACTCTCTGTCTCTGACTGTTTCGATGCTTCTTCAGGAAAAAGATCGCTGTCCCGGCACATTGACCCCAACCGGAACTGCCCACCTCGGACTCTTGTAGAAGGAGGAAACAAAGAGGCTCTGGCACTGCATGGTGGATGTTGGGAGGGAGTTGACACCGAGTTTCCGCCGTCCCGCCACGCCTTTTTTGCTAAAAGAGACTGCTCTGTGCCGCGGTTGCCTCTAGATTTGATTTACAGTAGGTCCGTCTTGAATGCATTTGATGTTTTGTCAAATGGCGAACCAACAGTCGAACCACAATTTCTTCCATTGTTTCGTCTTGCAGCATTTCGAGTTCTCCTTGCCGGGTATATTTGCGCAAGAGCTTCAACCACCAGCTCCAAAAGAAAGCTGGCAGTCCAGCTAGCCTGAGATGATTGCAGCCTGCTGGCCGAAAACGGGCCGCTCATGACTCACGACCGTGAAAAAAGCCATGTCTTCAATTGATCCGCCGAAAACCATAGAAAACCTGAGAAAACCAGCATAACCAGCGACGCCAGCAGTCAGAATGTGCACATGCATCTCAAAATCTCCTGGCCCCCCAATTTTCAGGCTCAGCCCTGTGAGGCGCCCTCAGGCGTTCAAGTAGGAGGTGGTGTCCTCAGTGAGGGTCACCAATTCTTCAGCCGAACTCTGGGCAGCCCCGTGCTTCAACCCCAAAAAAGTGAGTCGAGCTCTGAGGAAGCACATGGAAGCTCTACTGCTGGATGGAATAACTGCATGACCCCACTGGGGGTTGCCAGCAGGTTGGAGCCCCCCGTCACCGAAACACTCAGTTGGTAGCCTCGTCAGCCAGACTCCATGGGACTGGCATAGGACTGCCGATCACTTGGGGTGGTTGACCTGGGGGTCAATGTAGACAAAGATGGCAGTCCCATGGAGTGTCTGGGGATGAGAAAAAGACTTCGATTCGGTCATGAAATGTCGGGACTCCTCCATGTGGTCTAAGATGTTCAATACAACTTGCAATACACCTGGCGAGCGTATATAGACCCCCAAATAGACAGAAAAGTAGATCCCCACTACAATGTATTGGAAACCGTTTCTATCTATTGGGGGATCACTATAAAGATGTGTTGAGGATCCTTGAGGTATCTTAAGGTGCTGCCGCTCAAGGCTATGAAATCCCTGAGCAAAACCTAACAACTGTTGACGTAACAAACTATAGCTCCTACACTCCCTGGAACTCATATGGAAGTGGACGGCACCTTTTTCCTCTACAAACTAAGGGTTTTTTTCCGCTTCTATGTTAGTTCCATGTGGAATGAACCGTCGGCCTGCTACGTGGTCATTAGTGGTCCAGGTGGGAATGCCCAGTGTGTACATTGGGATCCACCAAGGCTTGCGTCATTGAGCCCTGGTTCTTTCGCCCCTTCGACTGTCGTGACACGGATGTTCGATCGCAGAAAGCGGCTTCGACTGTCTGATCAACACAAAGGAAGCTTAGCGGGGCTCGAAGTATCAGAGAAGGAGAGAGAAGGAGACCGAGTACATCCGAGTACCGGAGACCGGAGCCGGATTCTTCGATCGACCATGTCGGGTGTTTGGGCTTTCAGAAGACTTGACCACTTCGACCGACCGTCACGTGCTTTCGGACCGAAGGACGGCGGAGGACCGGTCGGATGGAGGCACAACGACACCCGGAGCGGACTCATCCCCCCAAAACCACTCAAACATACCCCAGACACTCAACGTATGTCATATATATATGTATATATATAATATCCATATATGCCTATACAGACAGGGGTGGTGGTGCCAGGGGGGTCTCAATTGATCGGCATATATGAATGGCAGTCCCATTAATTAGTCGTGTCTGGGTACAACTTGGGGATGCTGCAAATGCACAGCAAATGTACAACGTGCCCACAGGCGCCCATTCATGGCCCCGTTCGCGTTCGTTTGCACCGCACGGCCTGCGCATTCATTCTTTGGAGACCCCATTCTACATTCCCTCAAATCATCTCAAATCAATGACGTGGATGGCACCACCTCTTTCGTATGACAACCATGGTGTGTTGTTCTGTTTTTTGCATTTTTTTGGGCCATACCATCCACCGCCCGCGACCATGATGATGGAATGTTCAAAAATAAAGGGGTCGTCATGTAAGCATAATGATATATATATGATATGGGACCATTGGTCACGTCTGGGTCTGTCGGGTCATCACACTGAGTGCTCGGCAATTTGACCCGGCATCTCCCCGATGTTCACCTGCCGCGCGGGACGCAGAAGTGGCCGGCTGCGGGACGAAGTCGGACGAAGGGAGAGAAGGGAGAGAAGGGACAAGGCGAAGAACGTGCGTTTGGGTTCGATGTGCAGAGAAACACAGGATGCGTACATATATTAAATACATATATTTATATACTATTATTGTATAATATATATATAATTAATATATATATATATGTATTAATAGATTTTATATACAGTATAGGATATTCTAGGTGTGATCTTTTGAGCATGTGCAGCATGTCCGCTCACAAGGCTCTTGCAATGGCGGGGAGATGTCGAAACCATGGGAGATGTCACTTTGGCAGCCCCAAATAGCCAACCTTTTCTCTTTAGGAGGTGGTGCCTCTTCCCCACAAACCACCTGATCTCATCCATCTGCAGATTGTTATGCAAGGCAAACGAGGTAGCACAAATCCCTCCTGTTCTTAGCAGGGGGGGCAGCAGCGGCCTCGAAACCAGCAAAGGGCCCCGAAAGGCGCGAAAAGATGCAAAAGGAGGGTTCCGAAAGAGGCTGTACCAGGCTGTGCCCTTGCAGGGTTGCAGGATGATTTCAGGCTTTGCTGCAAGTTTCTCCTCCATTTATGGAGCTTCACGGGCTTCGTG